GGAAAAGAAATCTATTTCTGCAGACAGAAATAATACACTGCTCATTGCAGATGTTGTTCATCAGTGTTCACCAAGAATAACTAAAATACAATATGAAAGTCTAACATTTTGTCTCCATATTAAACAGGAAATATGGGAACCTAAGGTTAGCACAGCTTACATTACTGCCATGAATGTGTAAAATGTGACTGAGCCATTCCTCATCTGAAATTAGTTCTATCGTTGGTTAGAGCTGGATGGATAATAGGCTACTGTTTGCTAACCTGAACATATGACTCTGAGGTAATTCTACGAAAGTGTGTGTTTTTAGTGAGGAGAATCAATAAACTTGGATTTGCAGTAAAGCTAATAGACAGATACTCAGCATTCCTCTTCCTCTCTCGTATTTCCCTCACAGACAGACAGATACCTTGAACAGTAAACCTAAAATAATTTTTACCTCCAGACATGTTTAAAATTATTTAGACTTAATCTGAGACTTAGCTGAGTTGAAGGTGACCTATTCTGCTAGTCAGTGCAAAAGAATAAAACAAAAAGGGAAAACATTCTTACTGGGGAATTGATCTTGCAATTCAAAGAAAACATGTATGGATATTTTTTAATATTATTTATCTAACTTGACAAATAACCATTGTTTGAAAATAATGGATGCTAAACATAATTCTTTTTACTCTTGGAATCAAGACATAATAGGTTTATACTGTATAATTTATAGTTTGTAGTGTTCATAATATTTATCTTTTTAAAATTAACAAAAACAATGAGGTAAATTAATTAAATGTTCTTTTGACCAATTTTTTGACAGAAAAATTAGAGATTAAAGATAAAAATCTAAAGATAAAATCTTAATCATAGGCTAAAACACAATCATATATATACATACATATTTGTTATGAAATAAAAAACATAATTAAATAGGGCAGTATGAATCTTTGGTGTACAGGTAAACACACACTCTCACACACTCTTATCTCTGTCTATGAATGACCAGTAATTCCGTGACACCTGGCAGTAAAAAGGCTCTTGAGAGCACTTCTGTTTTGTGTGGGTGCTGAAATGACTGAAGACAACGTTATTCAAACTGCACTAACCTGTTTGTTGGTTCTTATCATCAGCATTTTGACAATAACTACTGAGAAAAACTAGTCCTAGCAACAAGAAACAATTTTCCTGCTCAGAGGTTATAATGGTAGAGAATCAGGTTTGAAAAGTGGTGACAGTCTGTTATTATCGACAGCACAGCTGAGGCGTCACACTGGGAAGAATACTGTGGACTTCCTGTTTTCACACACCAAACACACACACTTGTATCAGAAGGTGCAACATTTGAGTTACGTGAATGCAACTGAACTTGTTATGTCTGCATTGTCAGACATTTAGGAGTATAATTTACTCTGGAGTTCTGGAAACTTAACAGGTACATATGACTTCTTACCCTACATTTTCCTCTTTCGACACATCAACACACATCACTGATTCTTCAAGGCCTTATTTACCTCTTCATAATACAACTTGATTTACTAAAGAAAGATCCTTAATGCAACTTTATTATCTATGGCAGGGGTTCACAAACGTTTCCATAACAATGCCACCCAAACAGCATTAGTTTCTGGTTGTGGACCCTGTTTGCAAACCTACAGACAATGCTACAAAATATGTAAAGAAAACAAACTTTTAGAATGCATTTTCTTACTTTTATTCACTATTTAATAATTATTACATTTGTTTAGAATAAGAACATTATTTCCTTTACAAAACCTCGTTTACACATTTAAGTGTGGTGCGGGTCAGGACAAATGTTTATAAAATAAAATAGAATAAAAAACTAATAACTGAAAACCACTCATCTATGTCATTAGCTGTGACCTAAACTGCAACATTCTTTGCATTTTATTAATTTTATTGTTAAGCTGAATCTTAGCTGTGTATTATTTTTTTATAAATATTTCACAGTTATCACAGGCCATATCGTCACATGATGGTGACACCGGCTGTTCAAATAATTGAATGGAACATCAAGTGATGCTCTGCTTTTAAAGCTATGACAAATAATAAATTATTTTTTCATGCTTATTTCCCATCTGGGAAGTATTATGGCTGAGAAAATTCACAATGAAGAAGCATGAATGCAAAAACCACAACTCAAACAAACAAAAAAAATAATCACAACATCAAAACAGATGTTAAAATATGACTGCAGGAACCACAACAAAAAAATGTTTTTTTAAACTTTAACTTTCCTGTACATTCCTCTGTATCTTCTGTTTTGAACACACTTTTTCAGTAGCTACACCATATTTCTTATTTACTTGTGATCTTAAAAAGAATCAACAATATCTTATTTTATACAGTGCTCCTGTGTCAAGTATGACACTTTGATAAAATGTTCAGTTTAACGTCGAAACAGTAAATGCATTAGCGTGCAGCTACTCATGTACATGACATCAGCAAACACAGCTGTAATTAACTCGTGCATGACAACTGTGATATCCCTGATCCCCAGTTTCCTGTTATTATGACACAGCAGAGGCAGCTGATGTTATTCAGCTATAAGACCCCGTCTACTTAGATGTTTTCTCGGTTGTGTGATACGAAGACCTCCTGCTCTAATCGATCGAGTGTTGATTTGAGTGGTATGTTTTGTTATTTGCTCCGTCTGGTCGTTCCTCTCTGACTCTGGCATCAAAGAAGAGTTCTGACCCACAAAACTACCGCTAACAAGAACTCGTTCTCTTTTGTTAGTAAAAACCCAACACATGGCTGCACAGGAGAAACCCAGCAGGTCATATTGACCTTATCAACATGCCTAAATGTATAAGGCTGCTGCCTTGTGATTTGCTGGTATAATATCCTGTAATCTTGTTTGACCTGAAGTACAGATTTTAGAGTCTAACTGCACTAGTGCAGTATCATGCTGCCATAAACCTACATGAAACAAAAGGCAATACATTTAGAAGCATACAGTATGTCCTTTTATAAAGGTCTGTTAAAAAGGTCGGTGAAGAATTCTGAGCATAAAAAGACATTCCAGTTAAACTGACAGCCCAGAGATTTAAGGGAGCGCTACAGCGATTTGTACTCGGGTGTAGGAATGTTGCAAATGTTTTGAAAGCAACAGTATTAAATGATTGGACAGGCCCGTAGTGTTTCAGCTTGTAGCTACTCATTGTACTACTAAAGTCAAACATTTTTTACACCCAAGCATAAATTACATTTTTGCTGTTGCTATCTATTCCCTAAATATTGTATATACTGATTTGGACCCACGGCTGTTGCGAAATTTATTGTAAACATGTAGCTACTTTTATGTACATGTAATCAGTCAAGGTGAACACCTAAGCGTAAGCACCTACAGTAATGCATTCTGTTTTTATCTTTTGTTGGTAGAGTGTTCATTGTGAATACACTCCATTGTGCTGCATACTAATGTATAGGGTCCTCAGATCTAAGCTTTACTGCCCAAACTGTGATGACTTTGCACTACTGTACAAGGGGCTCAGATATGGTGCATTTTATGCTAATGGTGGATGTGAGTTTGCAGCAGTGAAGCCCTGCATCTCTGCTGTCACTGCTCCTCCCCCTCTTTCACTACAACCGAGAGGCGGCTTGACTCTTCCCTCGAGTATGGGGTGCCACATCAGCTTATTTCCTCCACACTTGTCACTTCTTATCTTTTTAGCACCTCCTTTAACCAGCTGTCTTTCAGGCTGCCTCGTTTTTCAGGCCCCTCGTCTCTTCCTCAGCTTTGTTTCAATTTTCTGTTTCTGTTGCTCTTCAGAAGAAAGGCAAAAAAAAAAAGAAAAAAGTGTAGTCTATGCTGTCACCATGGAAACTGTATCTCGGAGCCGTGCCAGCACTCCTCACAGACTCTCTCTCTCTCTCTCTCTCTCTCTCTCTTCTTTCTTTCCTGCCTCCCTCCTACTCCAACCTCCATATACAGATTAAAGCATACCTCTGATGAGGAGAAAGAATGAAGCAGGAGAAACAGTGGTCAGACTGCATAATCTTACAGAGGAAACAACTTTTTTTTCCTCTGTGATGAAATATTATTACTGATGGCAGCTATCAAAGACAGATGAAGTGTACACATAAAAATACCCACATCCCCCTAAGGTGCCCTACCCTGCAGCTTTGGATTGATAGCGGGGAATTGTAGCTAATGGTGTGTTAGATGAAATTAATTCATTTGATATCTGCAGCATCACTTTGAAGTAATTTGTGATTTTATGAGACACCAGCAGACTGTCATAGTCACATTAATGAGATAATTTCTGATCATACAGATTCATGATTTGAGTGATGTTGAAATTCCTGTGATAGATTCTGAGGGACTTCCTGAATTATTATTTTAACTAGATATATTTGTCTTTTTTTTTTTATAACATTCTTTATTCGTTGCCAGCAAGAATCAGTCCTGGGTCAAACACAAACACCTTCTGCAAAACAGTGCATTTTCATTTTTTTTCAGGAGTAATTTGCCCATTGTTCTGCTTGTGACATGGCTTTATTTCCTAAAAATATAGTAATATTCTAACTGCAATTTTATGAAATTGGGAAGTGGGGTTTGCAAGCAGCAGTTGAATCCATAGACAACACCTTTCTAGGTCAGCGATGCATTTAAAGTGAAAAGCCTTTGACATAAGGTTGAGTTATGTGTAAAGAAAAAACTCTTTAAAACCTCAAAGCTTTATAAGTTATTTCTAAAGGTGCTTGTGATCCTGGTGTTTCTGCTGTAGATGAATTAGGGCACACGTGTTCAGTTTGATTGTAGATTTCTTGTGTGTAAGCGTGGCCCATATTTGATTACCAGTTCTGCAAGTCTTAAATTGGGCAAATCTTATAGGACCCACATTAAACCTGTACTCAAACCAATATGGGTCCTAATTCTCCACCATATGCTTTATATTCATTAATACCTGTCCTCTTGCTCTCTGTAGCTTCACACCTGCATTGAGTTTAAATGAGCCTGAACACTGAATCTTTGTCTTCTTTACATTAAGGTTGGTGTTACTTGGTTGAGGCAACAGAGCCGGGCCCTGACTAAGTGCTGACCAGCGTGACACAGGAGTCCTCCCAGGCAGCAGGGGGAAGCAGTGGACATGCAGGACTCCATCTCAGACAGCAAGATGGGCAAACAGGTTGGCATGCTCTCTCTCTAATCATTGTTTTCATTTGAAAATTGTGTCTGTTGAGTGAATAGTTTTTCTTTTCGGATCTGGTTTTCCCCCCCCTTCTTGGGTCAGGGTTTACTGGGATTGACCAGGATGGACAGGATTAGAACTGAGATCAGAGGGACAGTTAAGGTGGAGCCGTTTGGAGATGTTGTGTTGCATCCTTGCCAATTTATAATGATACTTGTGTGTTTGTAATCCCTGTGTTGATGTAATTGAAACAATTCTAAAGTCATAATAGAGTTATTGTTTACCCTTTAGTATTGCAGCAGCTTAGTTAATTGTAGTTGTATAATGTTGTCCTCAAGTCCTTTTTACACTTTTAAGAAATCCTTCAATAGGAACAAGGGGTGAGTTACAGTGTGTAAGTAATACTTTGCCTTACTTACTCACTTTGCCTTTGTTGTATTTGTATAGGATCAGAACTCCAAGCCATTGGACGAACACAAGGAAACAGAAGAAATGTCTGAGAAGACGTCACCGAATAAGAACCTCAGATCTCCCCAGAAAGGCTCGAAACGACTAAAGACGGTCTCCTTCAAAGTGACGCTGATGGACTCTTCTGAGTTTGGAGGAGAAGTCGAGGTATGAAACACAGAAAAATAAAGGACAAAATTACATTTTCTGGAATCTTAAGAACCGTTGAACAAAATGTGACACTTTTATCCCTTCATGCTAATATTTTCCCCATGTGGACCGTTGAGGTTCTTGTACGGAGCAGATTGAATGGACAGAGTTAAAAGAGCACCAGGATAGTTTAATATTGACAACATCCATTATTTTATGTATAGCAACAACAAGCATGACTGAAATGTTCATGCAGGTCATTTGTTGACATGACTATTTGAACATTAATGGGTAGACACCTGATTTATTAGTTATATTATATAAAACTTGGAGGAACCAGGATTCAAGAAGGCAGAATAGGACAGATGAACCCAGCATGTGTTGGTGTAAGAAAAATGTTTGTGTGTTTTCATTGTTTATGTCAACTAAAGGTACTAAATTATAATGGCACTAAAATAAATGAACCAAAAAATGGAACAGAAGAAAGGCAATTGAAACCACAACTGTTCTCTGATGCAAACGAAGTTAACCTACAGATGTTCAGTAGCAGTATGCAGTGGTTTTGCCTTGTATTTGAAAGCAGAGTTGTTAATCCAAAACTTTTTTGTTCAATTCTTTTGTTCAATTCAAAAAAATAATTAAATCACATGTTGGCACAGTATGTTTTAGGTAGGGTTTATAAACAATAAAACAGTGGTTTGTGATTGCATTACAAACGTACAATGTTTTCCACAAAACAAGATCCATTTTACTGTGGACCTTGTGAGCTAACTCAAGTCGGTTAAAAAAGCAAAGATAGGAGAAACACAGTATTTGAGGCTGACTACTAAATTTATCACAGAAATGAAGTGACAAGTAAGTGGAGTCTACTTTGGTGAGGTGTGAATGTCATT